TTAAGAAACATCGTAATGCAATACCATTATATCGATCTTTTTCAGGATTTTACGAACAAAATGCAAGAAGAAGACAAGTTGCCAATGTACATAGGCCATCGGAATCGGTCGAGATGAGTACGGTTTACGAAGATCCTAGTAACGAAGTTAAGAATAATCAATGGAGGAGAATATTGTTATTGGTTGTGGCTATTACGGTAGGTTGATATGTTTATATTTTTTTTTTTTTTTTTATTTACCTACAAACGTAAATATTTATCGAATTGAGGAAACATGTAATCCTTGAATTTTCAATATGGGAAAAAAAATAATGCTGTTTATTATAAAAAAAAAAAAAAAAAAAAAAAAAAAAAAAAAAAAAAAAAAAAAAAAAAAAAAAAAATCTATCCCCGTGTTATTATTTATTCAGATGCAAAACAATAAATATTTTCAAATAGAAAAATTTTTATTCATTCAAATATATTATATTATATGACATTTATTTTATTCTTAAAATTTTATTCTATTATTTAATATTATATGTATATATTATTATGTGAAAAAATGTTTTCATTTATATGAATATATATTGTTAAAAAATTTCGACATTACTTATGGGTATTTCAATCCAATAGTTAAATTACTTTTCAAATTATTCTTCTGTCAATTTATCTTATCTATTTACGTTGATACTTGAGAAAAAGTAATGTATCTTCTAATAATGTCATAATAATAATCTTTCTTTGCTTAGGTGCACAATATACCCGAAGGCCTTGCCGTTGGTGTTGGTTTCGGAGCGATAGGAAGCAGTGCATCAGCTACTTTTGAAAATGCAAGGTAAGAGATATATGCAAAAAAAATTAATTTCATATCCAATTATATAGGATAACATCTAGTTTATATGTACGAGTGTATATACTTTTGATATGTAATAATTTCTTTGCTTTCTTTCTTTCTTTTTTTCTTTTTATTTTAATTTTTTTAAGCTTTCTTTTTTTTTCTTGTTTTTTTTCTGGTTGAATAATTTGTTCTATATGAAGATAATAAAATTCTTTTTAACAGTATTTACCTTTTATACACATATTGCACGGAACACAATAAATTCAGCTATATATAATAATTAATTATATATAGCTTGAAAAGAAACAAAAGGTATACAATTAATTAAAAGTACAAAAAAAATTTAATTCTAAAATTACATTAAATTTGACGTAATAAGAGAATGAAAATTGTATTTGTTATATTTAACAAAGGTTTCTTTTAACAACAAATTTTCTATTTGAAAGAATTTATATTAATTAATATTAATTATCGATGAATATTAATCTCATCATCATATATTTAATATTGATATTTATCTAATAAGAAACTAAATTCTTATCTGAGATTATTTATACGATATAAGCCGTAAAAGTTTCTGAACGTTAGTTAAAAAGCAATTGTTCCTTTTTCATATTAAATTACATTTTTGTTTTTCTTAATTTAGCCTGATTCAATCTGAAAGAAATTAAAAGACAAAGAAATTTTTGATATCGTGTTCTATATATTATTTGTTTTGCAATTCGCTCTCTCACGTAAAATTGTTTTTCTGCTATTAATCTCTGATATGAGATATCTCAATGGTTGAATATATATATATATATATATATAAGGAGAGAGAGAGAGAGAGAGAGAGAGAAATATGTAAGTTAAATTACACGTATACATTAATTAATCGTCGGTAGAAAATAATAATAATAATAATAATAATAATAATAATAATAATAATAATAATAATAATAATAATAATAATAATAATAATGATGATATATTAATCATTAAGTGTTCGCAGAATTTTTTTTTTTTTTTTTTTTTTTTTTTTTTTTTACGTATCCAGGATAGCATATACATTTTTGATGATTATAATAATAAGAGCAACATTATTACAAGGTCTCAAAAGAGCAGGTCTAATTATTAAATTAATTTGAATTTATACGCTTTTTTTACATACACATATATATATATATATATATATGTATGTATGTATGGACAAAGTAATGCATCTTATAGTAAATTCGACCCTGTAGATATTTATTAAACGTATTGAAAAACTTTTCTCATTCATTCGTTTATCAGGTCACTTTTTGCAATTCTTCAAGAAAATTTCAATAATACTGAAAATGGATGTGCATGTCTTTGACAAATTAATGTTACATGATCGATAAGTTTATTAATATTGAAAAGAAGGTATATATATATATCTTTCTCTCTCTCTCTCTCTCTCTTTCTCTCTCTTTATCTCTCTTCCTGTCAGGATCAATAGAAAGTTCGAAAATTTATAATATTATAAATATCGTGACGTTGATTGCACCTCCGCATATATTGCGTTCGTATCTCTTTGGGCTAATAATATTTTAATAAAAGCATAAAGAGCGAATATATACGTATGTTTCTTAGTGGAATCAATCGTTTCTATTTGATCGATTATAAGATCCCATAGGTTAAATGTGATGTCAATGAAGCCCACGTTAGTCTCTCAGTCCTTTGAAAGAAGACGAATGCAATTAGAGAAAGAAAAAATGCATTGGGTTTTTTCGATTAAAAAAAAAAAAAAAAAAAAAAAAAAAAAAAAAAAAAAAAAAAAAAAAAAAAAAAAAAAAAAAAAAAAAAAAAAAAAAAAAAAAAAAAAAAAAAAAAAAAAAAGAAAAAGAAAACAAAAGAAAGAAAAAAAAAAGAAAAAAAAATCATTTCCAATAACGATAAATATTCAAAAGGAATTTGCAATAATATTTATATACTGGAAAATATTTTGTTAAAAGTTTCCTATACAAGTTATATATATATATATGTATATATATATATATAGAAAACGTCAGTAATCTCTGCAAATACTCTCTTCCATGATAAATCATTTTCTGATTGTGAACGATTGAAAAATATACCACGCAGTTTGCAAAATTTCATTCCTTTGCTTTTTTTTCCTGTTTCTTTTTTTGTTTCTTCTTTTTTTCTTGTTTTTTATTTAATTATCTTTCGTTCATAGATAGGGAAAGTGACGTACCTATTTGAGCTTTTACGTTGCCAATGGCATTTATCTTGATGTTTGTCGGCTATGAAAGGATTGGTTTTTCTTTTTTTTTTCTTTTTTTTTTTCATAGATCATCTCCCGTTCAAAAATATAATCTCGATAGTTAAATGAATGAAAGATCAATCCGTGGTATCATCGTATAAGTTTCTCGTATGGACAAATTATTATTTTTATTATGTATATATATATATATATATACATACATATCATCTCATTCTGAATATATATCGATTTTATACGATTTAATTCTTCGTATATATTTCTTATCGTAGCGTGCGTCGTGTACGAACGAATTAAAATAAAAAAGAAGTGCGAATTAAAGATTTTTATGAATGATCGAATTGTTGTCGAAGCAGAGATTTAATTTATTTTCGGAAGATCGTGGATACGTAGATTTTTTTTCTTTCTTTATTTTCTAAAAACATTTAATTTATCAAAAAAGGATCGTATTTGTTCACCATTGTCTCACGATACGCGAGTAACAATCAAAAGTCACACGTTCCGATTAAGTTGTTGAAAATTTAGTTATCAATTCTATTCACAGAGGTCTCTAATATTTCTTTTCGATTACGGTGCCATCTGTACGTATTTTTCACATGAACGTCAATGATCGGTAATAAGTACGATCGGTAATATCGATTTCGTAAAAAATTTTCACATAAATTAATAACAAAATATATATCGATGTCGATCGTCGGGATCGTTATAGATATTACATCAATTTCGGGAAAAAGATATTACTTCATTTTTTATTATAGAATATTTAAAAATATTTTTTTAATATAGGTTATGAATTTTTACATTATATACGAATATATACATAAGAGTCGAATTAAATTTTAAAGAAATAAAATGACATATTGAATTATGCATGGCTATTAATTTATGAAATAACAAAGCATTTCTGCCATTAATCCCTGATGCTTTTGCATCATATCTTTAAATGATTTAGTTTCTTTAATGTTCTTACTATTCGTTTTTATAAATAACATGATTGTTTTCTTTAAACTCGGTACATTATATTTGTCGGCTAAAATGAGATAATCTACAGCATTGGAAATGTTTACATATTTTTCTATTATGTCGGCCAATTTGATTTTCAAATCTTCTATCTGATAAATATTTGCCACTTCCATTAAATCAAAAATCAAATTGTTCGTAGATTCAGTCATCTTGATTTCATCGACTTCTCCGAGATAAAGAAATTTCAATAAAATTTCAAAGGCATTAGGATTCACATCCTTGATGTCAATACGATTTTCATTATTTTCTAACATTTTGTGAGAGAACATAGCCGCAAATACAGGACTCCTAAAGAGTATCGACTTATGTGCTAAAAATTCCTTATCACCGACACTTATTTTAATGTCTGTACATGGCTTTGCATGGTACATCATTTTTAAACGTTCGTAAAGCTCTAATTTTGTTGGAGTTATATCGACAGAACTATTCATCGTATTCCTTCTGACTACAGGAACATTATGTTCAATGGTAAAATGAACTTCAAAGGCATCATCTTCCTTTAAATCATTGGGTAGGTAACATACAGACCATTTAAAATATTCTGGCATTTCTTCACTATTTATGAAAGTATCTTTTAACACCAAGGAGTTCCGTTTAATTACTATTTTTCGAAACACTGGTGGATTAATAACTTCCAATTCACAAATTATACGAAATAATGCCTTCGTATTCTCCCATCGCATACCTATTTGGCACGCTGTTACGTATGTATTCAAATGAAACACTGGAGTTTTGAAATGCCTTTGAGAAATCAAAGCTTTTAATGGACGTACATTACAGATATAACTTGTCACCATATCATCAAATGATATATCTTGTTGAATATATGTAGTGGGTTTTGGACAATTCGTATCATCCGTCGACATATTTTACAATTAAAATTACGAACACTTTGGTACTTTTTTTTTTTTTTACCTTATCAAACGTGATCAATGTTTTTTCTTCTATCAATGTTTCTTTCTTCTTCTATGTCTTATTAATTTTATCGAATCTATCAGAAAGATTCTAACCAGATATCTACGTCGTAATAATGACGACAATAATTGATAACGTAACATTGAACAAAATGTTATGTATGATATACCGACTCATAATATAATTTAAAAGTATAGCTTATTAGATGGCGCTACGTGTACGATACTTTAATATCACAAACATATCTTATATTTTTATAGTTCATGATTTATCCCTATTTACGTCCATATATAATCTTAGTATATTAATGCATCGCATTGCGCGTTGAAATAATTCATTTTAACCAACTTCGATTAATTTCAATCGACGATTAATTCCATTGTCAGTTTTGCCAACAGTAAATAATTTTAACTGTATATAGTTCTTAACCAATATTTAAAATATCCTTTATTCGTATTCTATCTATCAATTTCGATCGTTGTTTTAGCCGATATAAGGATATTTAAAATATAAAAAAATTTCGATTACCTTAGAAACGATTTCCTTGATGTGAATAATTTTTTTTTTCATTATTTTCACCTATATTTCATCGTGCAAAAAATATCAAATTGATTCATTCGTCAATTATATTCTTGAAACTTTTTATTATCTTTCGATGCTCGATGATAAATTCAATTTCATATGAATTCTATTGTTTATCAATCTTTTGAATATATTCATTCACCTCACGACAAATTACTTGAACATCGAAAAAATATTAAATATTTGTACAATTTAATTCCATTTTATAATATTATTATTTTATTAATGTTCGTCTCAATGGAATCTATTATTTCCATTGGTTTCATTTACTAAATGAAATTGTATACTAACGTACGTTTCTTTTAATTCTATATGACAATTTTGCTCAGAGTTGTTAAAAAAAAAAAAAAAAAAAAAAAAAAAAAAAACTTTTATAAGATTCACATAATCTTATTCAAAGAGAATTATCATATCTATTAATTTCATATATATGATCAGTACTTGTTGATTTGTTTTTATCATTATAGATGTACCTTAACAGGATCGTATAATCTATGATTTAAAATAAAGAATACGTATAACAATGAATGTGATTTTTTTTTTTTTTTTTTTTTTTTTTTTTAATCCATTTGTCCACGTAATTAATCTAGTTACTTTTTCATTTTTGATTATTTTTGCTCGGATTACTTAGTTTTTTTTTTTCCCCCATTGTAACTGTTGATAATATAGCGATCGATTTCGGTCGATACATGTTACTCGTATATCCCAGATATGTATATTGGATAAGCAAAACCGAAGAAATCTTCTTTACCATCGAACGATTTAATTCCTAGAGAGTATATTCTCATCGTAGTTCCTCGTTCAAACGTTAGATGGCGACAATGTGAATCGACTTGAAAGCTGTCCTCGTGTAAGATTATCGTGGTAGGAGGTCTCCATGAATGAGTTCCATGGTGGTCGAGTGTGGTAGAGTCGCAGGCAGAGTTTATTGCCGCCGGATCGGACTCGTACAGTCGACCAGGGGTTAAAGAAAGGGACGGGAGGGCACGTGTGGCCCTGGAATCCAAAGAGTCCTAGGCGCCGCGCATACCATTCCAGTCTCTTCTCCCTTCTCCTCTTCCACCTTCTTTTCTTCTTTCTTCACGCAGCTTATCTTTCTAACTTCTTCCTCGCACTTGGTCTACTGCTACCAGCGATCATGATGATATCGTATATACCTTTTCGTTCTACGAGAAAATGATCAATCGAAGTCACGCGATCTCACGAGTTTTGCTACTTCGAAAAAAAAAAAAAAAAAAAAAAAGGAAAAAAAAAAAGAACTACATTTCCTTCGCAGATTAATCGTAGATTCTCTTAGTGTAAACGTTACGATCGACATTTAATTATCACTCTATTAGCTGAGATCACTCCTTAAAATATTTGATTATAATTTTACATGACGTTCGATGATCTAAAACAGAGACGGTCAACTTCTTAATCGTCGCGAATTATATACGTTCATTTTTATCAACGATCAATCAATCCATTCTTTTATTAATTTAAATTCACTGATTGATGGTTATTCTTAAAAATCCGATCGATGATTGGATAATAAAAATAAACAGAAAAAAAAAAAAAGAAAAAGAGCTTTGCACTTCACAAAGCACAACGATATCAAATAATAAAATTATTTTCTTTCTTACAATTAGGATTAACCTGTTGCTCATGATCCTTCCAATTGGCTCTATCCCTTGGTCTAAAGTATCAATAATTTACTAAAAAAAAATTTAGATTCTATCGAGATATTCGATTATATTATCGTAAATCGCTGTATCGTTATTTAATTAATATCAATTATTTCACTTTGGTATTGGAAATAGGAAATTTCTTTTTATTATTCGATCTTACAAAAATATCTTTTATTCGTATTATCTTATGGGGCTTTTGTTACATCATATCGATTTTATATAAAATAATTTTATCAGATTTTAAACGAACAAATGAGGATATTCTAATAGCTCATATTGGATTTATATGAAAAGGAATATTGATATAATTTATGATTTAACATCGTTAATTATAAAATAAACGAATCATAATATTATTTTGCATATGTATTATTATAAGTTTTACTATATTTGCTGTCATCGTCAAATTTGTTTTTATCATATTTTTAAATGATTTCGTATCTTGAACACTTTTCCCATTTTTTATTATAAAGGATATACTTTCGTTTTTTAACTTCGGTATGTTACACTTTTCGGGAACAAATAATATTTCTATAACGTTATCAAACTCTAAATATTTTATCACTATCTTTGCCAATTCATTTTTCATTAGTTTCCATTTCATATTTGTCCGCTGCGCTATTATTAAATCCAAAAGGAAATTTTTGTTATTTACGTTTATTTTGATTTCGCCGGTTTGACCGGTATAAAAAAAATGTTAATAAAATTTCTAATAACGCAAGATTAATATCCTTGATGTAAATGACGTTATCATTATTTTCCTGGATCATAGTTGCTAGTACAAGACTGTGAGAGTATGATTTTATGTGCCAAGAAATCCTTATTCCTGACATTTATTTTTATATCGGAAAATGTCTTCTCTTTGTATACTTTCTCTATGTGTTCGTACAGATTCATTTTTTCATCAATTACATTCTCGAAACTCTCGATTATTTTCCAATGCTTGATGATAAATTCAATGTCATACGAATACGAGAATACGAAATTTACAAAACATTCGACCCATAACAAACCATTTATACTTGGTAAATTGATAAAAGTCTCGGATTTTTTAATCCCATTTTCTAATATCGTTATTTTTTGAAGCTCAGGTTCTATACAATTATTATTCCCTTTGGTCTCACATATTAAACGAAATTTTGTTTTCTCGTACAATTGTTCTATATCTATGTAACACGATTGTTTACACTCATTTAAAAGGAAATGAGGACTTTGGAACCTTTTGGAACTTCTATTATTTTCAAATTGAAACGAATATTTTGTCACATGTGCTTGATATTTTATATCATTTTTAAATGATTGTAGAAAGTGAAATACTTGTCGAATTATTTTCCGACATATCGTACGATTGAAAAAAAAAACAAAAAAAAAAAAAAAAAAAATAGAAAAGAAACACATCGAAACTTTGATATTTTCGTTATTTCCTAACTTAGTCCACACTGCACGGAAGTCAATAACGTTTTGACGAATGTAATTCCTTTTTTGTTTCTCTCTCTCTCTCTCTCTCTCTCTTTTTCTTTGTCTTCCTCTCTCTATCATGCCGAAACGATTTCATTTGTCCAAATAATTTGTTCCTTATATTCTTCTTTCTTTTTTTTCTCTTCTTTCCTTTCTTTCTGTTTTCTTTTTTTTTTCTTGTTTTTTTTTTCTTTTTGTTGTTTTTTCTTTTCCTTTCTATTGTTTTTCTTTTTCTTTTTTCTTTTCTGTTTTCGCGTGACAAAAAATTTCGGTTATCTCAGTGGAGATTTTTGTATCGTCGATGATAATTCGCGCCAAGGGCAATCGTACCGGGCGAAAGAATGAGAAAGCAGGCAATTAATATTATAATTAAAGAGAGGCTCGCGTTATCTTTTCCTGTTCTCCAACTTGGTAATCTGGGAATGTCGGCACCTTTGCCGTTAAAACGTCAAATGATCGGCGATGCCATGTGTATGTGCGTCCCCGCGGCGTTCAAAATTTATAAAATCTTGAGAGAAGAAGAAGAAGAAGAAGAAGAAGAAGAAGAAGAAGAAGAAGAAGAAGAAGAAGAAAAAATAAAGAAAATAAGAGAGGAAAAAGGAAATGTATGAAAAGAGATCCCTCTCTCTCTCTCTCTCTCTCTCGTTCCACCTTCCCCCTCCCTTCTACCTAACCAATCCCTACCCTTTTCGACGATTCGACTCACCTTAAAATAATATACGATCGTTCATCGATTTATTCCTTATTATAAATGCAAATTAAAACGAACGTTCGCAATACGTACGAATTGAACATGTTTAAAGCAAAAAAAAAAAAAAGATATAGTGCAACTCAAGTAGCACGGAATTATTTTTAATATATATATTAAAGAAAAAATGAAAAGAAAAAGAAAAACGCGTTCATTACAAGTATTTGACATAAAATGAAAACTATTTAAATTGTATGAATGGATGAGGGAATTTCAACTTTTTTTTTTCCTTAGATGGATTAAAATGTATCCCATCTAAGGAAAAAGATCAAGCAAAAGTTGAGATAGTTTTTAATCTCCAACAATAAACTCTCCTCCGTCTTACTTTCAAAAAAAAAAAAAAAAAAAAAAAAAAATGAGAGCCTCGCGCTATCTTCTTCCGTTCTTCAACAATGAAATATGTCGATGAAACTCAGCTTAAGTCAAAGTTAATTCACTTAGTGAGAGTTTTTCCGAACGAAAAATCAAGATTACGTTCGTTCGAAGGTTCGAACGTAAAGTCGAAAAGAAAAGAAAGGAAAGGAAAAGGAAGAGAGAGGTAAAAAAAGAAAAGAAAAGAAAAGAAAAGAGAATAGATAGATAGATAGATAGGTAGATAAATGGATAAATAAATAGATGGATAGATTGATGGAGAGAGTATAGAATGAGATAATAAAAGGATCTGATTAGTACGTAAAGTAGACGTACAGAAGTCTCTCTCT